GTGCGGAAAATAGTTCTTAACAACCATACATGGTGCGGAAAATAGTTCTTAACAACCACACATGGTGCGGAAAATAGTTCCTTACAACCATACATGGTGCGGAAAATAGTTCCTTACAACCATACACGGTGCGGAAAATAGTTCCTCACAACCATACATTGGGCGGAAAATAGTTCCTTACAACCATACATGGTGCGGAAAATAGTTCCTTACAACCACACATGGTGCGGAAAATAGTTCCTTACAACCATACATGGTGCGGAAAATAGTTTCTTACAACCATACATGGTGCGGAAAATAGTTCCTTACAACCATACATGGTGCGGAAAATCTAACACAATAGCAGTATTAAAATGAATTGGTAATTATGAGAAAAGATTGGTTTTGGTTTGAATTTCGCGCAAAGCTACACGAGGGCTATCTGTGCTAGCCGTCCCTAATTTAGCAGTGTAAGACTAGAGGGAAGGCAGCTAGTCATCATCACCCACCGCCAACTTTTGGGCTACTCTTTTACCAACGAATAGTGAGATTGACCGTCACAATATAACGCCCCCATGGGTGAAAGGGCGAGCATGTTTGGTGTGACGGGGAAGAGAAAAGATAACAAAAATTTAGGTGTAAAATAAGTCAATAAGAACCAAAACAGAACTTAAACATTATATCTTATGATGCTGTAAGATCATAAGATCATATAACCAAAACAAATATTTATTTTATAACAACATAAGAATTCGTTCTAGTTGTGTATTGTTGTTTGTTTGTTTTTTCAGCATTCCTCTAATTCTCCCACACAACGAGACCACAAGTCACCTGGTTCTTCCCCTTGTAACGTCGTTCAAGAAAACTGTACCAACTGGCTTCAAGTTCCCCACGTCAGAGTGCGTCGTCATCGCTCACTTCCGGATCCCCATGCAATCCTACCAAGAAAACATCAACAATTGGGTCCGCCTCTGAATCCACACAGAAGTGCATCCATGAGACTCCCTGTAAGTAATGAATGGAACCGAAAATAAAACACAGCTAAATACGAATTGGGAATAAAGTACAACTAAACACGAACTGAAAATAAACACAGCTAAACACGAACTTAACATAAAACACAGTTAAATATCAACTGAAAATAAATCATAGCTAAGCACGAACTGAAAATAAAATACAGCTAAACACGAACTGAAAATATACACAGCTAAACACGAACTTAACATAAAACACAGTTAAATATCAACTGAAAATAAATCATAGCTAAACACGAACTGAAAATAAAATACAGCTAAACACGAACTGAAAATATACACAGCTAAACACGAACTTAACATAAATCACAGTTCAATATCAACTGAAAATAAATCATAGCTAAACACGAACTGAAAATAAAATACAGCTAAACACGAACTGAAAATATACACAGCTAAACACGAACTGAAAATGTAACACAGCTAAAGACGAAATGAAAATAAAACATTGCTGTATACGAGCTAAACATGAATTAACAGATACACAACAATAATTAAGTTAAACGTAAATTAAAAGATAGAACACTATAACAGAGCTAAACATGAATTGAAAGATAAAACACAATAACAGAGCTAAACATGAATTAAAAGACAAAACACTATAACAGAGCTAAACATGAATTACAAGATAAAACACAGTAGCACAGCTAAACATGAATTACAAGATACAACACGGTAACACAGATAAACATGAATTAAAAGATACAACACGGTAACACAGATAAACATGAATTAAAAGATACAACACAGTAACGCAGCTGAATATGAATTACAAGATAAAACACAGTAACACAGATAAACATGAATTAAATAATAAAACACAGTAACACAGATAAACATGAATTAAAAGATACAACACAGTAACACAGATAAACATGAATTAAAAGATACAACACGGTAACACAGATAAACATGAATTAAAAGATACAACACAGTAACACCGATAAACATGAATTAAAAGATAAACACAGTAACGCAGCTGAGCATGAATTAAAAGACAAAACACTATAACAGAGCTAAACATGAATTAACAGATACATAACAATAATTAAGTTAAACGTGAATTAAAAGATAAAACACTAGAACAGAGCTAAACATGAATTAAAAGATAAAACACTATAACACAGCTAAACATGAATTAAAAGATAAAACATTATAACAGAGCTAAACATGAATTAAAAGATAAAACACTATAACAGAGCTAAACATGAATTAAAAGATAAAACACTATAACACAGCTAAACATGAATTAAAAGATAAAACACTATAACAGAGCTAAACATGAATTAAAAGATAAAACACAATAACAGAGCTAAACATGAATTAAAAGACAAAACACTATAACAGAGCTAAACATGAATTAAAAGACAAAACACTATAACACAGCTAAACATGAATTACAAGATAAAACACAATAACAGAGCTAAACGTGAATTAAAAGACAAAACACTATAACACAGCT